CAACCATTGTACGAAGAAAACATGAATACGTGAAATGACACTAACAGAAAACATGCCAATATAGTACTATTTTTTTCATCTACACATTTTAAATAAGCCTGTTTCTGATTGCGAGAAGTATTGTATTATTTAATCAAAACTGAAAAATGCACCTTGAATTTAATAGAATATGTTATCACGCGGATCAATGAAAAGTTAGCTACTCAAACACAATTTTGAGGTTATGCTCGCTTTCTGTCTGAATTAATTTTTAAGACAAGTCTCAACGAATAAACTCGCATGGGATGTCTGCGTGTTCACCCATACAATAAAAATGTCATTCTTAATGCCATGCAAATTATTTCTCCATATTCAATGTTATAGTGAATTTTATAATTTGGAAGAACATAAAGGTCGCTCTGTTCCAGGAGACGATGCTGCAGACTCAAAAATGAGATATTCCGAGTAAAATGTTTTGAAATCATCTAAAAATTTACCATTTTCCTTTAGGCTCAGATCCCCTCCCCATTATAGCCAGCGCCAATAGACCACCTGACTTCTCGTTAGGAACCGGCTATTTGAATACCGGAAATAAGACCACATTTTCAGCAAGAGCTGGCGGGAATAATAAAATAAGTGTGTTTAACCTCGCCGTGCGGTCCCAAATGGAAGTAAATAGGTAGTTGGTGAAAAACTGTTGAGGTGCTCTCAAATTCTGAAAAGAAGGATGGTTGGTGTAAAGATGAAAGATCTGAAGAAGAAGAAAAGGCGAAGAGAGGAATATTACGTCTTATACAAAATTTCCGGACGCGATAGCACCAATAGCCCCATGCTCTCTGCAATATGACGTAGGGAGAAGATTCCAATGTCGCAGGGAATCTAATAAGGAAAAACTGAATTGGGATTTTGCAGCCGTCTCAATTCGTAATGGGCCCAATCCAACAGCAGAGAGCAGATTACCAGCACAGCATATTGCACAAGCTCAAGGCCCATTAAATAGGTCGTCCGATTAGCCCAGCTGATTTCACCCATTCTGTCAAAATACATTTGTTTATATTTGGAATTCGCGAAAAAAAAATGACAAGCTATCATTATACAATAGGCCTGTGTGGTTATTTTCCTGAAGTAATTGTCTAGTAGATTCTTTCTGAGAGTTTTATTCTCTTTTATTCTCAGCTGATTTATGAAAAACGAAGGAATAACAAGTAAAAAAGCTGTAAGTTCGGCCGGGCCGAACTTTTAATACCCTCCACCATTTGGTACAAATTTGGCAATTTCCAAAAAAAAAACTCGTTAAAAATTCTGTTAAAATCTTAAAAATACCGAATGCTTATACGACGACGTGGGCCTGCATAGGCAACTTTTGTCATAAGTTATTACAATATTTAAATGCGAAACTTGAAGAAAAATCTGTTTATAATGTAGCTAAAATCATTAAAATACCGAATATCGGGGGGTACGGTATATGGGGGCTATATGAAGACTTGGACCTATAAAGCCCATTTTCTGTTTTATGCTGCAGTATCTATTACGAACTTCAAATACCAAATTTGGAACGATTTCGCTAAGTAATGTCGCTAAAATCATCAAAATACCGAATATCGGGGACTACCGTTATATGGGGGCTATATGAGGACGTAGACCTACAAGGCTCCTTTTTTGACTTTGGATTACGAATCCATTACGAACTGCAAATACTAAATTTGAAACGATTCCGGTAAACAATGTCGCTAAAATCATCAAAATACCGAATATCGGGGGGTACCGTTATATGGGGGCTACACGAAGACGTGGACCTGCACAGATAATTTTCTGTCTTAGGCTGTAGTATTCATTACGAACTTCAAATGCCAAATTTGAAACAATTCCGGCGAATAATGTCGCTAAAATCATCAAAATACTGAATATCGGGGGGTACGGTATATGGGGGCTATACGAAGATGTGGACCTACATGGCCCATTTTCTGTTTAATGCTGCAGCATCTATTACGAACTTCAAATGCCCACTTTGAAACGGTTCCGGTAAATAATGTCGCTAAAATCATCAAAATACCGAATATCGGGGGGTATGGTATATGGGGGCTATACGAAGACGTGGACCTGCACAGATAATTTTCTGTCTTAGGCTGTAGTATCTATTACGAACTTCAAATGCCAAATTTGGAACGATTCTGTTAAATAATGTCGCTAAAATCATCAAAATACCGAATATGGGGGGTACCATTATATAGGGGCTATACGAAGACGTGGACCTACATAGATTATTTTCTGTCTTAGGCTGTAGTATCCATTACGAACTTCAAATGCCAAATTTGAAACAATTCCGGTGAATAATGTCGCAAAAATCATCAAAATACCGAATATCGGGAGGTACCGTTATATGGGGGCTATATGATTTCTTGGACCTACATGGCCCATTTACGAACTTAACATGCCTACTGGCAAAATATACATGTGTGCAAAATTTTAGCCTTCTATCTTAATTTGTTCGAAAGATAGCGTGATTACAACAGACAGACAGACAGACAGACACACAGACAGACAGACGGACATGGCTAAATCGTCTTAGAATTTTATGCTGATCAAGAATATATATACTTTGTTGGGTCTGATATGAGTATTTCGAGGAGTTACAAACGGAATGACAAAATTAATATACCCTCCATAGTATGGTGGAGGGTATAAAAAGAAATGAAGTACACACAAATTTAAAAATAAGCCGTAAGACTATACAATTAGGCTTTTGATTACTAAAATAAATATGTTTTAATTGTGCATCGGAAGGAGAAGAATAGCAAATGATTGCAAGAAGAAATTTGTCCAGGAAGAATTTGCAAACACTCAGTGAAAGAATTCCTCTCTCGAGTAACTCTCTTTTGCAGAAATTTTGTGTTAAAAGTAACAGTAGTTAACAATTTTAGGGTAACCAGACACACCTAATTCTATTCTGGCTGCTTGACTGCAAATGCGATTTTTTCTCCATTCCAAAATACGAAGACGCATGATCAAAAAGATCACAAATTGCCAAAATATGTTCATTGAAACGTCTTGCCTTCTGTTTAATTTTAATACTATGCTTGTGTGCTTTGTTTCGTATGCTTTACTTTGTTTTTTTTTTCTCGTCGATGTTTACAAATTTGCGGTATTTTGGCCCATTCCCGGTGAAGCGCTTGCTTGAGGTGATCGACACTTTGCTTTCCAAAATACTGCAGACACAGTCCAACGGGTATCCGGAGATTTTGGTGGTCTTTGCGCGTTTGAAATGAAGCGAGGAACCTCATTTTGTAACCATTACTGGGTGGCGTGTACTGCGTCCTGTTGGAATGCCAAAATGTTTGCGTGCCAAGACTTTATACACCCTCCAGAATATTTTCGCGATAATATTCGGCATGTATTCTGATGCCCCGGTTGATTAAAACACGCGAAAAGCGACCACACCATCACCATGGCCGGCGCTTGAGTTAAGTTAACACGATCATTTTGTTTGTTTACAAACTGTTGGACAACGAGTGTTTTCTCATCATAGAAAACCAAATTCCGCAGTTCACCACTTTCGGCCAAGCGAAACAACTCTTTAGCTCTTTTGAGTCTATTTTCTTTCTGTTGCGGTGTAAGTTCTTGCACTTTTTGGAACTTCAATGGCTTTACCCCGAGCTGATATTTCAATATTTGCCAATGGAATATTGCGATATGTTTAGCTCATGAGCCGTTTTTCGGCCACTGCGAGTCGGATTTCGATCAAGTCGCTTCTTTACTTTTCGAACCATTTCTGCTGATGTTACTGTTTTCTTCCATCCACTTCCTTGACGTCGGGCTACACTACCAGTATCACGGTAACGAGCTATGGTATGAGACACAAAAGATTTATTCACATTTAAATGCTGCAGTGCTCTAAAGGATATAAATATAAAATGTAAAGAAATTACACTATCACGCTTGAATTTCATCACGAATAGCTTTTTTTCTGGAAAATTCTGGTCAAAATGCTTTTTTACGCTTGTAAACAATGTAATGAGCTGTCTCTTGAATAATTTTAACAGCTGTCGGACGAGTGGGTTAGAAATGACAGCAGTCTGAATTTGGTTGCAGTTTCTTCATCTCACCCTGTATATAAGATTATTGAAAATCGCCTTATTTCCATATAAATATTGGGATTTGGGAAAAATTGGAAATTACTTTTTCATTTTATTCAAGTTTTGAGAGTGGGGGTTGTTACTCCCCCACAAAGTGTGGATCGATAATTTTCATATTCGTGCTTGACTTACGTTTTATACAAATTTGAACTCCGTTTGCTTTAAACTTGTTGACGCATTTGATCGACTTCAAATGAAGCCACTTTTGTCCAAAGGGAAATGCTGTCTAAGTCTGAGGGTATAAAAACTACCTAAATATCGACACAACCAAATTTGGTCCTTTTTATATCCATATTTTAGTTTGCATGTGGATTCATTGGATGTCTAAAAGGTACTTTTCTGTACTCCTCTGGGGAGGTAAGAAAATATCGAACATGTCAACAATAAAAAGTGTAACCATTTTTCCGACGGCACAACATCATCCCTCGCACTTGATGCACGTTGTTGATTGTCCTTTGTGTGCGGAGTATTGTCGATTTCTAGCACATGTTTGTTATTGTTTTGTCTTTGCCTTGGTCGTTTTTTTTTTTGTTTTGTCTGTTATTCGCTTTGATTGTTATTGGTGGTCGGAATGGTGATGCACTAAGCTTTTGCCACATAGAAATGTTGCGCGCCAAAATACTCATCGGCGAGGTCTTCATGTTGCCAACGAAACACCACTACAAAGGATCTTTATTGTTGTGGGGGTGGTTTCTGGTAGTTTTGTTTGGTCTTATTTCCATGCTTTTGGTTTCTTTTGTTGGTAGCGCCTGTGGCTGCTGCATCCGCACACTCCCACCAACGTTTTGGGGTGTTGGTAATGGTGGTTGGTTGCCTGGCTGGCTGGCAAATCAGTTCAGTTTCAGATTAACACTTTACTGTGCTTCCATGTATCTTGTTGGCATGGCTTGGCTGTGCGACTGTTGTTTGCGCCTTCGTACCGGTGGTGCTTGCTTCGCGCACTTCTTCCGCTCGTTAGAATAAATATTTTTTAATAATTTTAAATAGCCGTAGACTTTTGCCAACGATTCATTTGATTTTTAACTGTCATCAGCATCAGTTGTCGTTCGGACGGTTTGCGGCTCGTACATTGTGGTGCGTTGTGGCGCGTTGTGGCGCGTAATCTCGATTAAAACTCGGTGAATCAGATAAGGCATCATCAATTGATTTTATACGTTGAATATTTTATTTGAATCACGTTAAACTCTATACTCTGGCAAAGGAATTAATACATCAGTGAATGAATTAAAACATCAAAACGAATGCATCAAGTGAATAATATGTGAGTTCTACAGGATATTTGGTTGTGATAATAGCGCAAAGGATTAAATGAAGACGTGTGTGAAACTATATCCGACGGCACTACAAGTTTTTTGTGTTCATTGTTGAAAGCACAAAAGTTTTTGAGTTTTCAACATCATATCGAATTGAATATGGAACTGCCGTAATTAAAAGAGTCTTTTTTTATTATTTTAAATCAATAGAAATTTAATAAAATGCCGCAGTTTAAATTTCAAACTAAAAGAATTATTGATTTTAAAAATATTTATAAAATTACAAATGTCCATAATTGTGTGTTAAATATCACTTACACGGATTAAGATGGATCAATGAAATTCATGTAAATGTTCGAAACTGATGTTTTTTTAGTTCCAGAATAAGCTACATCTATTATTTTCGATTTACCTCTGTGGTATCAAATTACAGGGTGAGATAAAATAACTGCAACAAAGTCAAACGTCATAAATGTTTTTTTTTAAATTTTTTTTGAATGAACGCAAAAAATTTCGGAAATAGCATCAAATTTTAGAATAAGTTTAAATTTGTTCAAATTGGTCAACTTTGGCACGAATTATGGCCTTCAAACGGCCAATGAAACTGTCACACGCTGCCCGAATGTTTCTCTGCGGTATTTTGACCCATTCCCGACGAAGCGCTTGCTTGAGGTGATCGACACTTTGGTATTTTTTAGTGCCAACCTTGCTTTCCAAAATACTCCAGACACAATAGTCCAACGGATTGGTATACGGAGATTTTGGTGGCCATTGTGCGCTGGAAATGAAGGAACCTCATTTTGTAACCATTCTTGGGTGGTGCGTACTGAGTGCGATGGTTCTGAGTCCTGTTGGAATGTCCAAGGTCTGCGGCCAAAATGTTTGAGTGCCCAAGGCTTTAATACACCCTCCAGAATATTTTCGCGATAATATTGGGCTATTTGAGCGAAGTTCAATGGCTTTACCCCGAGCTTATTTTTCAATATTTGCCGAATGGAATATTGCGATATGTTCAGCTCACGATCGGCCATCGAAACCCGCGTCGTTTCGATCAAGTCGCTTCTTTACTTTTCGAATCATTTCTGCTGATGTTGCTGTTTTCTTCCGTCCACTTCCTTGACGTCGGGCTATGCTACCACTATCACGGTAAAGAACAATGGCACGAGACACCAAAGATTTATTCACATTTAAATGCTGGAGTGCTCTAACGATAGCAACTTGTGGTTTTCTAGCCAAATATTAAGAAATTACAATATCGAATAACTTTTTTTCTGGAAAAGCTTTCAAAATTGGCGAAATTGTCTTGTAGTAAATATTGAAAGAGAAAGACATATTTGTAAGGGTTCTCACAAACCAGATAAACTATTTTTTCGGGTAAGAGGATTTTCTAGCAAAAAGTTGCAAAATGATAAAAGTTGTAGATCCCTGCATGTAAAGGAACAAAGCTTATATGGAAACATGCAACTGCTTGTTCCATTTTCAATACCAAAGAAAATTGTGATTAATGGCGAATGTTTCCAACCCAAATTTAGACTCAAGAAATCTGTATTTTTGTTCTGTTGATTTCAAGTTATTTACAATTTCGCTAACTTTCTAATGAAGCTAACATAAAACCAGTTTACAGAATAGTATCACTCATACCTGTTTACCTGCTGTTTAAAAATTAAAATTTTAGAAAAATATTGTTAAAGGAAATATTGATTTCTTGCCATCAAGAAAAGATGGCTGAAGGAAAATGAAGGAATTAGGTTATTAGGAGGAAATGTTGTACAAAAATTATCTGCAATCGATTTGAGTCAAGTCATGTCATTTTGGAAATGAGTAACAAGAACACCAAACATAGGTATAGCGCTATATCATTATGTATTTTTCTGTCATAGGTTATATTAAGTTTGTCATTCTGTGTGTAACACCTCTATGGTGAAGGGTATACTAAAAGTTGGGACTGAAACTTTTAATATATAGCGGGTTGTCCACCCACGCTGAACAATTACTGTAGGAAGCGTTAATAACAACTAATGGTTTGAAACTCTGTAACATTCAAAATACATGAAATCCATGAGGACCATCGTATGAGGACCTTACTAAATTACAAACTAACAATAAAAAATACGTGAAGATAGTCCGGGCGATCTTTAAATATCCTTTACAATTCATAAATAAATGTGCATGCATTCAATTAGAACGGGTTCTATTTTAAACTGCAAATGCCAGTGAAATCGGCAGGAAAATACAGTTGATATCCTCAAAAAATCATATTGTGCTTGGTATCATTATTAAATCTTCAAAATACCGAATATTTGAAGATACCGTTACATGGGAGCTACAAGAAAACTATTATGACAAATTTCAAAAGTTCTATGTAAAATATTATGGTCTGTATGTTGATTTCAACATTCAGACGGAACATCCTTCAATTGAATTAGAATTTTATGCTGCTTTCGAATATACAGACTTAATGAAGTCTCCGACGAGTATTTAGAGGTATTACACACGGAATGTGTATGGACAATGTAAAAATGACAAATTATAGCTATTTCTGTTTTCATTACCGCACAAAAGAAAAATACCGCAAACCAGAAGGAATATTGGAACTTCGGCCGATTCAACAAACGGACAGACAGACTGACGCGGCGTTATCGACATCTAATTTCAATTTGGACGAGAATACATACTACTTAGATATGACTTCAACGAATAGGTCGATGTGTTACAAGACGTCCCCTAGTCGACTTTAAAGCTCAATTCTTATACCTGTTTTATTTAAAAAAAAATTAAATATATAACACAGAATAAACAATTGCATTTAATTATGTGAACTTACTTCCATTTGTTTATGAAACCTTATTCAGCAAAAATGCAAAACGATTGTCGAACTCATTTATCATTTTATCATTCATCTACCCCGAAAACGTACCCAAATTACTGCGTGCGTTTACACGTAGTCAAACAACATTCGCACACACATGTAAAGGGCAAAGGCTTAAATACGAAATGATTAACAGGGTTCATACTCAAATAGCGGTGAATGATGCCATCCCCCACATGAAAGTTAACTACGAAATACACACGTACTCACACACACACTTGCATTCTCATCAACACGCATTCACGTTTTGCCACATAAAAGGACTTCATGAAATTTGATTTAAGGGTAAACGCAAAAGTTCGACTATTCCTATATGTCACAATTTCTTGCACAGTGTTTTCAGTTGACAAATTTTACATCTATATATATAAAAATCAATTGTTGTTCGTTGGTATTGGAATCAGTTGAGAACGGGTGGACCGATTTGAATAATTTTTTGTACAAACATTCGTCATACCCCGAGTTAAGTTTTTAAAGAAAAAAATATTGACCACGACTACTTTTACGCCCACTATTTCGATTTATCTAAAATCCTTATATTTGTCAAATAATGAAGATATCGGTTTTAAAATTATTACACGACATACTGTTGACTTTCCCTCCAATCCTAAGTATTTATTTGGGGGCTGAGGAACTAGCTACACCTACTTCTTTAAATTTATATGTAAACATTTTGAAAAAGTATAGTAACACATCAGTTGAGAACGACCGATTTGACCCAATTTTCTTTTGGTTATTTGTAAATACAGTGGAAACGTTGTCATGAAAAAAAATTTTGAGAAAAATCGCGGAACTGAAAAAATTGTTCTATTATAATATGGAATTTTGTGTAGAATTGTTTCAGAATGCCTTTTGGAATTGGAAATTCTTATTGAAAAAAACTGAAAAAATCGAGAAAGTTTGCACATTTTCTATACATGCTGTTATAAGGTTGCCAATTTTGATTAGATATGGAAATAACTCATCCAATGAGAACTCAAAATGCAAAAATCATTGGGACTTTAATCAGTGAAATACCGAATATGAAGAGGCACTGTAATTAAAAATATAGTAAGAAAAGGATTCATATACTCGGAAAATTCATCCGAACCCTTTAAAGTAACCTTAAATCATAGGTAACGTTATACGGGTACTATGCGCTATCGTCAGTAGTTACACTGCGCCGCAGATAATTTTGGGGTTAGGAAAATTTTCTGTTGGTAAATAAAAATCCCAAAATCTAACTTTTTTAGAGTCCATTTTATATAGCTTAATCATACACAAAGGACCGCAAATAATTGCCCTATACTCCGCAAAAATTACGATAAAGTTTTAAATTTGATACAGTCCTAGGGGTTACATGAGGAATTATTTATAGAAAATTTGTATCAGGTTGGTCTACTTTGTGATATAGCCCCCCTCAAATGATATAGCCCCTTTCAAAATCCTCAAATGTTGGTAATTTGAGATTTTTAAAAGAAGAACAAATTCTTTCAAATAATTATAAGTATAGGACCATGCTTCATTTACTTCCGAAAAGACCTCTTCGCGGAAATTTTTCAATGTCAATGTTTCGTAGTAGAACGATTTCACTTAAAATGTGTGTTTAGGCAAGTTTGGGGGTAGAGAACCATCTTATATAAATAAACAGTTAATGTATACTTTTTAATATATATGCTATATTATTAAGGTTTTTAACTCTCAAACTAAAACCTCTTACTGAAAAATAGGATCAGGTTTTTTGAAATACGTATTTATTTCTATTTAATCGAGTTATCATATATAAATTGTGCCACTTATGTGAACACGATTTGTGAATTATTATGCTTTAAAAACTATGAATTAAAAACTAAAACTGCGGGCCGGCAACGCGGACTGGGCCAGCTAGTAAGAAATATTTATACAGTGACAGTAATATGTTTATATCTTATTACTTAAAGAGTTTTTTAATTGAATCTAGAGCTATAGAAAACTTTTTCAAAAACGAAATAAAACACATAAAATTCAGAAACATGCATGAAATCTTTTTTCGTATCGATAGTACGGTCCATATAATTTAATGTTTGGAGAGTACTTCATGAAAATTTTGACTGCGACGAACCTAAAATGGTCGCTTATCTAATTTTTGCATACTCTTTCGGCAGGTATCTCAGGAATAAA